CCCCGGGGCTCCGCGGTGGGCAGGCCCGAGGGCGAGCCTGCGGCGCCTATGGGGCCTGGGGTTAGCTTGCTCCCCCCCCCCCCCCCCCCCGGCAGGCCCCGGGGCGACAGGAGGCTGATCTGAGACTGGGAAGGGGGCCACAAGGTGCAGGGAACCTCTCAGATGAGCTAGTCTTCCCGGCCCTTCCAACCTAAGCTGCTTTGAGGCCAGGCTCGAGATGACTGAGCCTGCCCGAAGCCACACTCCCCACCCAAATCAAAGCTGAAGCCAGAGAAGGTCGCACTGGTGGAGGTCGGTGACCAGACTCTCTCCCTGGGAATGGAAGCTGCTATGGGAACTCAGCAAATAGTCAGAACTGAGCATCCTGTAGAACTGGTTTGGGGAAGGGGTTGTTCGCCTGGACTAGAGCCCCCGTTTAAGTCAGCCCCAACACCCTCTGTCCTCCTATCCCGAGTTAAGCCTGAATCTGACCTCTCTTACCGGCCCTTCCAGATCAGTTCTGATTTATGTACAGACTGGACTCTCGTGTGTACAATCTCATATAATAATAACGGTGCCCTGGCCACCATGTGTGTGACTGCGTGCGTCTTGGGTCGGCTGTATTCAGCTGACATGCAGTCTTTTGAGGAGGTCTATGAGTATCTGGTAGGTGTGCGTACTGGGCCTGAGAGGTTAGCATCGTTCTCAAGGTCACACAGCTGTGTCGAGGAGAAGCAAGAATTTGATCTGATTTTTTGCCCCTGCACTATCCACCATCCTAGTATTGTCAGTGGAGGTGGATAGGGAGAGAAAATGATAATAGAGCTACATAGCACTACAGCCGGACAAGGACTGGCATGGCTCCCTCGTCTACCTCCTAACCGGTCCGCGTCCTGTGGGCAGCAGAGCGGGATGAGCAGTCCCGGGGGTCTGGGTTTGGGTGAGAGGGAGGAGAGCACACAGAGCTTTGGATTAGGCTTATGCCTAGGTGGAAAAGCAGGCGAGAAAAGCGAGGGTGAGTCAGAGCGTTCCCAATCCGCCACCGCTGGGATTCGCGTCCTAGCCAGACCCAGCTGGGGGAGGCTGTCCAGCTCCCAGAGCGCGGCGGGACAGAGAATGTGACCAGCTGACCAGGGAGGAGGCCGGCAGGAAGTGAGGCCACCAAGCAGTCTCCACCCGGTTCCGGGGTGGGGGGGGTCCTACGCCACGGCAGGCCCCCTCCCCTTTTTATTGCCAGTTCTGGTTGGTGGCTGCCAGATGACGTCAGCAGCTAGGTTTGGGGCAGTTGCCATGGAGACAGGGACGGGCTCCTGCGCGCGACCCCCTTCTCCCTCCCAGTCACCCTTTTGCCTGGGTTATTTATAGCTTCTGTTTACCTCAGTCTGCTGTGGCCCTACAGCTGAGAGGGGCTGGACCCAGAGACTCGCGGAGAGGCTATGGCTAGTGTCACCGACCACTGCACAAGGTGGACAGTACTGTCAGTCGTACTTTCCGTCCCTCGCAGGTGTATTCATTAGTCTTGGCACACAGGAGCTATTGGGGGGCGTCTATAAAAACTGGATTCACGCAGGCAGTTAAGATTCCATTCCCTGCCGGGTGGTGGTGACACACGCCTTTAATCCCCGCACTTGGGAGGCAGAGGCAGGCGGATCTATGTGAGTTCGAGGCCAACTTGATCTACAGAGTGAGTTACAGGACAGACTCGAAGGCTACACAGACAGAGAAACCCTGTCTCGAAAAACAGAAAGAAGGAAAAGAAGGAAGGAAGGAAGGAAGGAAGGAAGGAAGGAAGGAAGGAAGGAAGGGTTCCGTTCACTGTTGAGTTGCACACCTCATAACCTTTAGGACCTGGATTCTTCCCCATGTCCAGAACACAGTGTGGCCTTGACAGGAGCTAAGGCTCCCGTCTCTTAGCAGCCAGCACCCACCAGTTGAGATAGTTACTCTTCATTAGGTAGGGATGGGAGTAGGTGTCAGCCTTTCCATCCACCTCAACGGGGGACGAGACTGCCTCCCCCAGAAGTGGTCAGTTAATTGTACATTCTCCGTGGCCATTTAATTGGTGAGGTGGGGTGTGGCGCTGGTGTTCCCAACAGTTACTCATGGTTCCTGAGTATAGGGGTTAAGTGGCAGCAGAGCTGCTGCCAGGGACAGAAAATGGATGGAATAACCCATATACTCTGAATCCAAAATCCCAGGACACCTCCACCCTGTCCCAGTCCCAGGGAGCAACCCCTGACCCATGCATATGGTATGTGATGTAATGAACTGGGAAAGGAAAAGAGAGAATCAGGGTAGACCCAGACTTGTGTCCTAGGATCTACCCCTCCAGTAGGTCAGGATCCTGTTCCGAAGACTGGGCAGCCCAGCTTCTGCACTCAGCCCCTTCCTTCACTTCCCAGATGCTCAGGTCTTGGTGGAGGGCTCCGGAAATTACAGCAGAGGGCAAGCAGGTAGGTCCCAGGTCCCAGAGAGTAGAGACTGGTGGGAAGATAGATAGGATCTCCTGGAGAACTACCATTTAGCTATGTGGCCTTGAGGGTCAGAGAGAGGAGGCTATAGAGGTGCCAAAAAGGGGGAAACAATCCAGAGCAGGCTTCCTCGAGGGAGAAGTTAGGGAGACAGAGGAACAAGGAGAGGGAGTTAGTTAGGCTAAAAGCGGTGAAGTGAGGGGACGACTAGGCATGTAGCTCACTGGTAGAGTGCACTTGCCTAAGAACCTAAGGTTGAACCTAGCAACACCACACACACACACACACACGCGCACACACACGTATGCATGCACACACGCACGCACGCACGTGTGCGCGCGAGCGCTAGTGGAAAGGGGCATGGGGGGGATAGAGTTTGCTGCCCAGATGCTAAAAACCTTGAGTGTGGCAGGAGGGGTCACAGTTGCTACAGAGAAGGACAGGGCCAGGAAAGAAGCATAGGACTTTATTCATAGGACAGGAGGTAGCTGTGGATTTTTCTTTTTCGAGACAGGGTTTCTCTGTGGCGTCTTTCGAGCCTGTCCTGGAACTAGCTCTTGTAGGCCAGGCTGGCCTCGAACTCACAGAGATCCGCCTGCCTCTGCCTCCCGAGTGCTGGGATTAAAGGCGTGTCCTGGCAATTACTCTGTAGCTCTCATTGGTTTTTTAGTTTGTTTGTAATTTTTCATAAGAGTATGAATAGAGAGATTTTTAAAGGTTTAGAATCTTAGATCAGAAAGTCTAGGCTTGAATCTGAGCCCTGTGTAATCTTGGGTAATTAATAATCATTAATAATAGCTAATACTTGCTGTGTACTTCTCCCTCCCCTAAACACTCCCCGTAGATGGAGATATCTCACTTCATGCTTCCGGCAGTGGTGGTTATTATCCTTATGAGTATCTGAAGTCCAAAAGCTTAAGAAGTGTCTTGGCCCTGTGAGTTTGAGGCCAGTCTGGTCTACAGAGCATGTTCCAGGATAGTCAGAGCTACACAGGAAAACCCTGTCTCAAGAACCAACCAACCAACCAACCGAGCATCTCACCCGAGGTCACATACAGACAGTTCACCTCAGCTGTGAAGTAGGGCTAGTGAGACTTACCTACATAGGCTTCTTGCTGCAATTAAATGATCTTCGTTCAGCATATTGCCTGACATTCAGTAAACACTCAAGAAGGGACAGGATTGTTTGTTATTGTTGTTGTTTTGGGCATGGTTGGTGACGGGAATTTTCAAGAGTGTCTTAGTGAATAAAGAATGGTTGATTGCAGGATAGGGAGAGACAGGGAGACTATGGGAGGCTGCTTGGGCGCTAGGATAAAGTTGGTAATAGATCGGACCTGCTGTGAGGGTGCAGATTCTAGAGATACACTCTGTATGTGTGTATGTATGTACGTATGTATGATGTGTGTGTTGTGTGGTATATATATATACATATATATATATACCATATATATATATATATATATATATATATATATATATATATACCTAAGGACTTTTTTTAAAAAAAATATTTTTTTTTTTTTTAAATTTTGCCAAAGGGTCTTAGTAAGTTAGCCAGGCTGGCCTTGAACTCACTTTGTAGTTCAGGTAGGCTTGAATTTTTGGTCCTTCTGCTGCAGTCTCCTAGGTAAATGGTATTTAAGCTTGTACCCCCAGGGCTGGATCCAGAGGCGTCTAAAAGCTTGATCTGTCAAGAGTGGGTGACTGAGTGGAGGTTGAGTGTAGCTCACGGCAGGGCCAGGGATGACTCCCAGTTTCTGTTTTGAACACCTGGGCAAATAGATAAGAGGACTGTCATGGGATGGTTAGAACTTGGACAAGTGGTCAGTTCAGTCCTGTGACCTCAGACTCAGCTCTTCTCCCTTTACAGGCTACTACACAGTGTCAGTTAGTTTGTGGGTAGACATCTGGGAGGCAGTTGGATAAGCAGGTCTAATGCTTACAAAGAGTGGTTTGGTTGAGGATAGATAAGGATGCAGAGAGGTACATAGCCCAAGGGTTGGGACAATGTAATCTGTTTGAGGACAAAGAGAGAAACGGGTCCTCTGTGGGAAAACAAATGTGTGGTGAGTATTAGGCAGAAAAACAGAAGTATGTGTCTTCCTTTTTTTTAAATTTATTTTTATTTTGTGCACATTAGT